GTCAAAAATGCGAAGTTAATATCCATTTAATATCCATTTGATATCCAACTTATTTCCTGATTCTTAGTGCCTAGAAATTGCAATTCTTGTCCATTATAGCTCATATTCTCCGGCAACACCACTAGACCTGACTACAAACTACCCTTCAAGTTTTGTCCCAATTCGGCGAGGTCTCAAAAACGCGAAGTTAATATCCATTTAATATCCATCTTATATCAAACTTCTTTTCTCATATGCTGTCCCTAGAAATTGCAAATTCCCTCTATTTGATCTTCTAATCTAGAGTAACACTACTAGCCCTGACTAGAAACTACTCTGTAAGCTTCATTCAAATTGGGAAAGGTCTCAAAATTGTGAACTTAATATCTACTTGATATCTATTTGATATCAAACTTTCTCCTTTCTATTTACCCTTTTGAAATTCCAAATTTTCTCTATTCCTGTTCATATTCTACACAGTCATTACTTGGATTGACGAGAAACTACTCTCTCTGTTTCATCACCATCAGGTAAGGTCTTGTAATCTCAAGTTCATATTCCTTCTACTGTTATCCTATATCCTTATTCTTTCCTCCTTTTTCTATCTCTGAAATTCTATATCTTCTCTCTTCCCACTCATATTCTACACTGGTACTTCCAGGTCTCCCTAGCACTTCTCCCACAACCTTGATACTACTTGATAAATGTTTCAAAATGCTAAACTCACGATACGCCTGTTATCTATTCCATATCTCTGTACTCCCCTTCCATCCCAGGTGTTCAAATTACAACCCTTTTCTATTCCTGCTAATCTTTTACTGGGACATTACCATAACTATCTTGTAACTGTTCTAAAAGCTCTGCTCCTATCCATATAACTTTACAAAATCTCTTGTTTTTATATTTTTCATATTCCCTATCTATCTCTCATCTTCTTCCTCCTACTTTTTCTCCATTTTCTTGTATCTTTTTCTTACTTGTTCTTTTCCTCTTTTATTTTTCCTCCCCCTCTTCTTTCTCATAATTGTCTTTTCCCCCTACCTATTGTCCCATTTCAAACCCTTTCTCTCCTCTTTCTTCTGTTGTACTCATTTTATTTCTCTTCACTCCTAGTTTAATGTGACCTATCATTTCTTACTTTTCCTTCTTTTCTCTATCCTACTTACCCTTATTCCCCTTACCCTACCCTCTTCTTTTACTTCTACCTTGTTCTCTCTTCTCTCCTTTTACTTCCCCACCTTTCTCTACAATCTTCCTCCTTCCTCACACCTCTTTCTATACTTTCAATTCACTTCCTTCAACTTAATCCTCTGTCATGACTTCTCCCTCCTTTACCAATCCCTCAGTTCTTGCTGCTCTCCAGAGAGCTCAAGACAGTAATCTGTCCCAACCATCTTCCCACCCTTTTTCTTCTCTCACACCTCTTAGTTCTTCTTCCTTGGTTGTTGTGAGTTGGATTTTCTTCCCCCTATTTTCCTCTTCTTATTTATATATCTTGATTTACTCAACTGTCTGACTTGTACATATAGGGAGGTTCCAAGAAAAGAAAGTTTTCTCCTGCTCCTCCTGCTGATCCTACTCAGGATGGTAATAAATTTCTCTCTGTTATTCTGTTACCTTACTAAATATTTCAGAAATCCAAATTCTTCATGTTCAACAAGCCAAGCAGGACCAGAAATACAGAAAGTTAGAACTGGAAAACATGGCCTTCAAGATTCAGCTACATTCTGCCAAGGGTCATATTTCTCATATTGAAAATGTATGGAGAGATACCTGGTCTAAATATGATGTAATATTTTTTCTCATCAATAATAACTTGTTTAGGTACTAAATTTTCTGTTTAGGTCCAATCTCTCTGTTATACTTAGACAGCGTAATCGGTGCGGCACGTGACTAAATGCATAAGGTCACGTGTTCGACTCCGGGCCCCGCCGCAGTTATCGTGACGGTATCTCATTACCGCACGAAACGATAAGGCATCATGCAAGTCTTTACCCTTTCACTATCCATGGGATAAGATAAGCGACCGAGGGGTTTTCGCTGGATAACATGGAAGGAGCTCCGCTCTACAAGATAAGACTTACTTGAACCAGATTGGTCGGTTAGTTATTGAGCTATGACCTCTGGAAGTCTTGGTGCGCTATTCCGAGAAGTAGCCGCACCATCCTCTGCTCGCGTATAACTAGGGTCATCCGGAGACTAGTTTACGATTGGTTAATAACAACTCATTAGTCGAGTTAGTTATCTTCGTCATGCACTCTAAGCTATGCACATAGAAGAGTCATTGATAAGTCCTTTGACGGAGCTGATCACTCCACTCAGGAAGAGAGCAAGGAAGTTAGTTTTCAGGGTCAAACGGTGTTCGCACTTTAAAGACACTGAATCGTTAGTATGGCAGGTACATAGTCAGTAAGGGATTGGATGTAGCCCGCGACCACCCAGACGCGGAATATAAATATCGAGGTGCCTCCCTAGCTTTAAGTCTATCATCAGCGACCGGAGAAGAGATCTTATCAATATATTCGTTCTACTTTACTTCTATCTTAACGAGCCTTCTTGACTATCTCCAAGACAAAAGAATACAGGGCCTAGTGTATACTCGCTTGACTGTAGAGTTACCTACCCCCTAACACTCTCAGCCTACAACCACCTTTACTAAGTTGTACTTCTGAGGTTACTGAGAAGCTATTACTTAGTATTAGCAATATGTCAGAGGAGGAGGTGGATCATTGGGCTTTAAAATCTTGGGATAATAAGATTTCACTGCAGTGGAATCTCTTGAAGGATTTAATATCTTCAGATAGCCTGGCGACTTCAGATGCCATTGTTGATGCTTGGTTTTCTATTATATTTTCCTCCTCCCATCCTCTTACTTCTGATCCTTTAACTTCTACATTTTTGTCTACTCTTTGTTCAGGTTTTCTAGACTGGCAGAGTGAATCATACATGAAGGAAATGATAACTACTATTTCTAAGGAACTAACAACTGTTACTAATTGGCAGAGTCTTGAGTACTTATATCTCCCAGTTCTTGTTCCAATGGATCCTATAGATTGTTGGATTCTCCTAAGAGTCACAGTTGGATCTTTGGAATTTGTTATTGAGGTATATGATTCTTTGGGAAATACATTATCAGCTGATCAGATGCAGGTATGTTTTCTTTTTTAAATTAACCACTCCTATACTAACAATATTCAGAGAACACAGAGGTTTTTGCAATCACTACAGATGTGTTCTATCCAAGAGTCCCTACAGCAAGACTCTGATGAACTCCCTATTTCTTCTACAAATCCTAAGTTGAAGTGGAGATGGCAAAAGTCTCAGGTATATGCATTTCTTTGTTGATCAGATACCAGATGCTAAAAATAATAGCAAACATATCCTAAGCAGAAGAACACATATGACTGTGCTATATTTGTCATGCATTCTGCAGCACTTTTGTTGAAGGGAGATCCTTTGAAATTTTCTCAAGAGGATATTCCACATATCAGAAAATCTGTCTTGTCTATATTATATGCAAATATGCAAGCTTCTCATCACTGGAGCATGTAATAGAAGTTGGAAACTTTATGCAATTTTTTTTTATTAATTTTTCTTTTCATTCAGTTTTTTTTTTTAATTATATTTTTCTCTCAAAGTTACTTCTAGTATGTGGAATTTGATTAAAACAATACTAGAAGTTTGAAGAATATATTAAATAAGGCTATAATATTTTTCAACTTTACTATTAATAGAAGTAACTAGTAAAGTTTAATTTTTCTAATCATATATGATTAATCATATTTAATTCAGTATGTGACCAATGGTGAATCTTGGCAAATTTATAGGGTCAAATCCATCCCCACTTCTGAATACCTCTTTTTTCTCTCTTACAAATTATAGTGCTGCCAGTATATCCTGCTTTTGTCTTCTATCTTTGTTTCTTGTTCTTATAAAATCCTCCTCTCATTCTTTGTTACAACTCCTACAACTTCTCCTATTCTCTATCTCCCACTATGTCTAATTCATCCTATGAAAAATCTATTATTTGTACAGAGGAAGCTGCTCTGGAGTGGGAACTATCAGAAAATGAGTGGATAACTGATTGGGTTAAAGTTAGATCAGTGGAAACTAAGAACCTAGTTATTGGTTTTGTTTGTAAGTTTTTCCTACTAAGAGTAAACTCATAGATTTAACTAATATTAAATAGTTCAGCAAACAGGAATATTACTTCCTTCTACTATCAACTTTATAGAGCAAGAACCAGTAACCTTTCAATGGATCATATCTTCTGAGACAGAGAGTTGGTTTTGGGGTTACTGGAACAAGCTGGCCAGAAAACTTGGTGAAAAAGTAAAATATACTAAAAAACTGCCAAACTATAGTCTGGATGACTATAGAGCTTTGCATAGAGCCATAATTAGAGGATGGTTGAAGGCAGGCAGAAATCAAACAAACTCAGCATGTATAAAGGTAAGAAAAAATAGATTTTCCTATTTTACTTAACTTGAAATTGAGTTTGCTATACTAATAATATTATTAGAGAAAAAGCCACCAGAATAGTATACAACTTGAAGATAGTCTTCAGGTTGAACTGCAAGGCAAAGAGGAAGAGGACAGTAGTATAGTAGAGAGTCAGTCTGGACTAGATGAAGCAGATTGTCAGCTGGATTCAGAAAAAGAGTTGGAAATTTCTGATATTGCAAGTCAATTGAGTGATAATCTTACAAGGGAGAATGAGTTTTCCCATAGGCAGTACTCAGGTAAGTCACATTTCAGAAATCAGTTATGAAAATCTACTAATTATAACTAAGACTCAGATAGTCAAATGAGGGACTGTGAGAATATTTCAATACAAGGTCTTAAATCTTGTAATAAGGAACCTGAAAGGTCTTTTCTACTCAAGGTAATACTCTATTTAAGTGAAAATATCTTTACAACAATTAAAAACTAATATTAAATATAGTTAAGGGAAGGAACCTTGGACCAACCCTTCAAAGCAGACAAAAAATGGACTACTTCAGGATTTCTACCAGAAGATATCACTATAGGATCTGGTATTGATTCAGAAGTAAAAGTACTAAAGGAACTTGAAGGCACTGAAAGTAGGTATAAGAGATTTGTATTACTATGAAATCAGAAACTAATTGATAATTAGGAGTACTAGAATCCTATAAGTTTGATTTGCAATTGCAGATTTTTCTTAAAACCTCTAATCAAATCTTGATAGGCAAGACTGAGTTTGAGAAATCAGTACAGGAAAAAAATCAGGCAATTGAAGATAGGAAAATACTAGGAAATCAGGTTCTAATAGTAGAAGAGCAAAACTTGAAAAAGGAGAAAACAAGGTTTCAGTTGGAAGAAAAGCTAAAAGAATTGGAGATGCAAGTTGAGAAACAGGAAGAAGAAGTTATAAGACTAGAGGAAGAAAGAAAAAGAAGAAGAGGGGTACAAGTTGAGTTGGAACAATTAATAGAAAGAACAAATGTATTAGTAGAAAAAATGTAGGAAACTAGGATTTGGAAGGATGCAAACTACAGCAAATATATTTATGAATCACCAAACTTTTCTTCATTCCTTATTTTTCTCATTCTCTTTCTACTTCAATTGCCCTTTAGCTAGCATATTAGCTTTCTCAATCAAGTTTGCTAACTTAGCACTTGCTTCTCTTGCCCCCTCTTCCCTTAATTCCAACTTCTTTCTAGTTCTTACTTCTTCTCCTAACTTCTTCTCTAACTGAGCTATTTTCTCCTTCATTTCTATAGTCCTTTGGTCTATATCTTCCTGCTCCTTCTGTAATTCAATCAACTGTGTACCTAAAATACTCCTATCTGCTATTGCCTCCTCCTTAATAGCCATCTGGTGCTGATAATAATCTCTATCAACCAGAATTTGATGTGACTGTTCTAGCTTTCTTTTTAGAAAAAGATCAAACTTATAAGATTGTAGTAATCCTAAGTTCTAGTTAGCACTCTTCAGCTTATTTCAGAATATTTTAGATCTTACTCTCAGTTTTTTCAATCTCTTCCAGGTCCTGAATTTCAGTCTTTCCTTGACCTTTCTGATTCACTGCCTCTTTTTGGATTGTAGGAATTGTCCAAAGCTCCTCTGGTTTTAAAGGATGCTTCAGGTTTCCTTCTGCTAACTAAATCTTAAATTAGAAAGATAATTATTGTCAGAAATTTAAAGTAGTGAGAATAGTTACCTGATGAAAAAACAATCTCTGATTCTCAGACAATAATGATATCTTTTTCTTGTCAGATATATCAACTTCCTTCTCTGTAAATATCTTTTTAGTCTTTTCTTTCTACTTAAGAAAGTAGAATTTTTCAATGTACCTTTTCCTACAGCAGCTGTAATAACATCCTCCTAAAAAACAGAACTCTCTGTCTCTGTAAACTCTGTAGACTCTGGTATCTTATTAGCCTATCTTCTAACAATTTAATAATTTGTCTTTTTTAAAACTTACCCTTTATATCTTTTGTCTGGTTCTCAACTCTCTCTCCTTCCTCCCTTTGTCCCACACTTTCTGTACCAGCTTGCTCTTCTACTTTTTCCAGTTCTCCCTCCATAACTTTTCCTATTTCTTTATCATCCCAAAACTCATCAGAAGACAGTTCACTTGTATCCTCTATACCCTCTGGCTCACTTTTTGTCCTTTTATCCTACAAAATATTTCTAGTCAATATTTTGAATTCAAAACTTGCAATGAAATAAGACCTACCTGCATCTCCCCTGATGCTTGATTAGATGCAGATCTCTTCCTTCCTGTAGTACATTCTGCCCTCAAAGCTCCACTTCTCATAGCAAAAAGTAGTGCAGTGTAATCCTGGGTATTATAGCTGGAAAACTTTTTGGCATATTGAGAAGATATCCCAGGGGGTTTGGCAAGCTGAGACCAGAAGTCTGGAAAGCCAAGCATGGAGTCCACAGATCTTACTAGCCAACAGTATCCAGTTGGTTCCTGTTCCAAGTAATTGATCTTAGCAGAAAGTAGAATTTTAGTTTGTTGATCTAAGGTACAATTATTAGTAGGTTTGAAATATAAATATTACTTGAAAAGACATACAAACAAAACCAATAATCAGATTCTTTAGAGCTACAATTTTAACTGAGAACCACCTGGTTGGAAGATCTCCAGAAGGTATAGACCAAAGATCTGCTTTCTGTGTAGTAGAAATAATACCACTGGCAGATGGAGTCAAAGTAGAAGACATGTTAGAAATTCAATAAGAAGGTGGTCGTGTAAATAGAAAAGGATGACAGGGAGTAAGGTTAAGCAAGAGGTAAAGTGTAAAACAGAGGAGAAGACAATAAAGACAAGTAGAATGAAAAGAAGAAGAAAGAAGAGAGAAAAGCAGGAAGGAAGAAATGTGGGAGAACAAGTTAACCCTGAGAGATGCCAAGACTTATTACTACCTAAGACTAGTATATCGAAAATATGTGATAAGTGATATAAAAAAAGAATAGTTACAAGATATATATGATTAAAGATAGTAGATAATGACAGGTCATAATAACTAAATAGAAAATATATTATGAATAAAATAGAAAAAAAGAAATAGGGGAACAGAAAGAGAAAAGGGTATAAAAGATAAGTAAGATTCAAGTAATATATAATAATAAAATAAATAGTATATGAAATTCATGGAAGAAAATTTAAAAATTATAATTAATCATAATAATATTCAACAGCAATACAGGCAAGGTTAAATAGAAGCAACTAGATGCATGTGAGTACAAACAGTTGCAGGGAAAAAGAGGGTAGTAAATAGCTATACTATAAAAAGGAACCAAAGAAATTAATAGACTAAAGTTGTAGGAAAGAAAGAGGGAATACTATCAATGGTAGCAGAGATGAGGAACAGAGAATGGGGAGCAAAGTAGACACTGCTATACATAGTTCATCTGAATCAAAAAACATATAATGATGTGAAGTTGATATGAACCAAAGAAATATATAATATGTGGCTATGGCTATATACTTTGCAAAGGAAATCTGCAAGTTTGAATCAAATTCAAGTTAGATTTTATGGAAGCAGCCGGGATGTATATTAGAACCTGGCATCTAAGAATGATAGCAATCAGGAAAGATTTCAAAAATGAAAAACTGATATCCAGGAAAAATCTATTTGATATACAATTGGGTTCCTAATATGGCCAATGTAGGAGATATAAATGCAGTGTATTTCAGCTCAAGTGGTATAAGGACAGTATAGTGACTGACATAAGACTAGACTGTAAGTCTTATCCAAATTGGTGGAGGGGTGAAAATTGCAAAGTTAATATGCATTTAATACCCAATTAAGATTGGAGCCAGGTAGAAATAGGACAGATACAGAAGATGTAAAGCTGGTCTATTCCAACAGGTGGTCAATATCAACTTTAAGAAAAGTGAGAGAAAACTATTCGGGAAGGTTCCTTCCAGTTAGAAAGTGGCTCAAAATTGTGAAGAGGAGCGCAGTTTAATATCCATTTGAAATAAAACTTCTTGCCTAATATTAAGTACCTAGAAATTGCAAATCTTATTTATCAGAACACATATTCTAGAGTAACATTATTAGGAGTAACTAAAGACTAGATAGCAAGTTTCATCCCAAGTGTGAAATGTCTCAAAAATGCGAAGCTAATATCCATTTAATATCAGTTTGATATACAACTTCTTTCCAAATATTTAGTACGTAGAAGTTGCAAATGTGGTTTATTAGAGCTCATATTCTGGAGAAGGATTACTAGGGCTAACTAGTAACTGTCCAGCAACTTTCATCCTCATCAGGAAATGTCTCAAAAATGCGAAGTTAATATCCATTTAATATCCATTTGAGATACAACTTCTTTCCAGATATTTAGTACTTAGAAGTTGCAAATCTTATCTATTCCAGCTCATATTCGGGAGAAGGATTGCTAGGAGTCACTAGTAACTTTCCAGCAAATTTGATCCTAATCGAGAGATGTCTCAAAAAGGCGAAGTGGATATCCATTTAATCTCTGTTTGATATCCAACTTCTTTCCAGATATTTAGTAACTAGAAGTTGCAAATCGTGTCCATTACAGGTCAGATTCTGGAGAAGGATTACTAAGACGCGCTAGTAACTGTGCAGCAAGTTTCATCCTAATCGGGAAATGTCTCAAAATTGCGAAGGTAATATCCCTTTCATATGTATTTGATATCCAACTTTTTCCCTAATGTTTAATAAGTAGAAGTTGCAAATCCTGGCCATGACAGCTCATATGATAGAGCAGCATTACTATGACGGACTAGTAACTGTCCAGCAAGTTTTATCCCAATTGGGAAATGTCTCAAAAATGCGAAGTGAATATCCATTTAATATGTGTTTGATATCCAACTTCTTTCAAGATATTTGGTACCTAGAAGTTGCAAATCTTGTTTATGTCAGCTCATATTCTGACGAAGGGTTACAAGGACTAACTAGTAACTATCCAGCAATTTGCATCCCAATTGGGTAATGGCGCAAAAATGTGAAGTTAACATTGATTTAATATCTGCTTGTTATCAGACTTGTTTCGCGATATTTGGTACCTGCAAGTTGCAAAGCTGGTCCATGGCAGCTGATATTCTGAAGAAGGATTACTTAGACTAACTAGTAACTGTCGAGCAAGTTTTATCCCAATCGGGAAAGGTCTCAGAAGTGGGAAGTTAATATCCATTAAATATCCGTTTGATATGCAACCTAGTTCCCGATTCTTAGTACCTACAAATTGCATTTCTTGTCCATTGTTGCTCATATTCTAGAGCAACACTACTAGACCTGACTAGAAACTAGCCTGCAAGTTTCATCCCAATCAGGACAGGTCTCAGAAATGCGAAGTTAATATCCACTTAATATCCATTGGATATCCAACTGATTTCCTGATTCTTACTGCTTAGAAATTGCAATTCTTGTCTATTATAGCTCGTATTCTAGAGCAACACAACTAGACCTGACCAGAAACTACCCTGCAAGTTTTGACCCAATCAGGAAAGGTCTCAAAAATGCGAAGTTAATATCCATTTAATATCCATTTGATATTCAACCTATTTCCTGATTCTTAGTGCCTAGAAATGGCAATTTTTGTCTATTATAGCTCATATTCTAGAGCAACCCTACTAGACCTGACTAGAAACTGCCCTGCAAGTGTCATCCCAATCAGGAAAGGTCTCAAAAATGCGAAGTTAATATCCATTTAATATTCATTTGATATCCAACCTATTTCCTGATTCTTAGTGC